TTTATGGCTTCTGTGCTGTGCAGTGGTTCCGGCTTGCGCGAGAACGCTTAAGGCCTTCTCCAGCTCTTGATATGATGATGATCGTTGGTGAGTTTCCTTCGATCCTCCCCTGGGAATCACATCTCCGATATATAGAATGACTGACGTTCGTGTAGTCCAAGTATACAGACACTCGATCGATGAAGTGACCCATCTACAGACTATGTAGGCTTCATGGATGATATCCAGATGCTGGGTGGAAAGATCTGCGGACAAAGGTGATGTTCGAAGTGCTATAGAGTTTTGTGAGAATGATCCTATCTAGTCATGCAATATAAGCGGTTGGAGGACTGACATTATCTGCAGTTCACCGTAGGCCTGAACTTTAAGCTTGAACACGCAAATACAAAATAATGGCACCGTACATGATGTTTGTTCTGCATCGAATTTACAAGGTTGTATTTAGCATCACATTTCGGAGGCACACTGCCTCAACTGCAAGTATACCTACTCTATAAGAGAAATATTGCCTTCAAGTACATTCTGGGGTACATGGTTCAGGAGCCATGTCTTGAATACTACTTCATCATCCGCTGGAACGGACGTGAATGGGCCTGAATATTTGTGAATCACCTCTAAGCAACGCATGACGACTGTAAAGATTCCCATTCTCTACGCGCCGACCATGCTTCAAAAACGAAGACGTTCGAACCACGCGGTCGACGTCATCCACGTGACACACTGATGCGAAGAGTTGCACTCTTCGCATCCGAGTTACGTGGATACATTCCTTTCATTTCTCTTACTCTTTCGTTATCTTACCTTGTGCTCAGACTTCACGATTCCCGTTTCTTCACCGATATCTTTCAACTCGCCATATGCTCCCTGTTCTTGTTCCGGCCTAGTCAACTACTCGAAAACGTATATATATTGTCCATGTATACTCATACCCATAGCGAAATTCTATCCTAAGATCCCCGCTCCAAGTACTCAGAAGCCTCCTATAACGCGCCCGTCTCAAGCATCTCATTTCTCGTTCCTCTCGTCTCTTGTCTAAACTAATTCCGTTCACAATTCCCTAACGAACTCGACGTCAGCCTTACACGACTTTGAAGTTCGCTTCGTGCGATCGTGTTGGGCATATTTCATCCGCCGTTGCTAGATAGCTTGCTTTTTTCCCATGGCACCCCCTGGCGTCCACTGTCAACCATTCATCGAGTGGTCTGTTCCTCCTGAGGAGTTCACCATTTTCATATTGAAGACAAATTCAAGTGAGGACCCAAATGAACGATTCAGCATCATGATAGTACAACTGCTCGACTTGGCCTGCAATGGCTTTCCGCGTGAGAAGGTGTAGCGACATGAAGGGTACCGTTCCTGTGCGCTCGAAGCCTTGGGGAGCGTCTTGAATTGAGGATACTGATGGTATGATCGATGACAAGTCAAAATCATTAAGGACGCTGATAAATCGACCACCGAAGCGGTATCCCATAATGTTACTGGGGCTGACGTTGCGGTGATGCACGCCTCTCTTCCAGAGGGCGTGATGGCCTGTCGGAGTAATGGGTGAATGATAGAGAACAAGAACTAGTCTAAGTGTTGTAGGCACTTGGTAGAAAACGAACGTTTGACTCCGCAACTCACATGCAGCTGTCAACCGAGGAACATTCACTTACAAACAAAGCTTCGATCAATTTTCATGCCTAAAGGACCCTACTGATACACCATCTCATCGTACACTCGTTTCATAATTAAGAATTACTTTCACCTGTTGAAACGCATGCTCGTATATGGACTACTGCAGGCCCATCAGCGGGTTGGATTGTGCTACGGAGTGCTACAGAGCGCTCTGTAGCACTCTAGTGAATTACGTTGCCCTGATGGGCGGTTTTGTTCCTGATTGATTGAGCGCTCTGTTTCTTGGAACAATTGAAGTTGAACGTCTCGGTTCTTCAAGTTTTGCAGCGAGTCTCTGTCTGATTGCATATCTCTGGCTGTGAAACCAATTGCATTCTGAAACAAAATTATATTTTATGCGCAGTTATTTAAATGCTGCTCACCAAACCACCACCGCGACTCTGGGCATCACCTCTTGAGGACTTCCAATTCTCTCGAAGGAGTAACCGCCGATTCAACCTATAGGTCACGTTGGTAAGTTCATTGCGTTTATCATCTGTCTGATCCATTTGGTGACTGACGAGGCTAACAGGGAGTTCCCTACGACTACACAATATGCGGGTCAGTATTTTGATTTGATGTGAAGTATTCCATATCATTACCATTAGGCCACAACAACCATATTCCAAACCACACAACTGCGTCATTTCAGTCGTAGTCAGATGCATTACCAACGCACTCACAGTTTTGTTTCACGACTATAAACTTGAAGCTAGTTAGAGAACACTTTATTCGGGGAAGATAAGGGTGGTAAAATCCTCACCAGGATCATCACGGTTATGGTCGTCAAACTGAGAGGTCATTGAAAGGAAACGACTGATGAGAGAGGTAAATACCCGTTGACCAGAGCAGTCTCTGTAGAGGTAACGTTAGAAGGCATTCACTCAAGCAAGAAACTTCTTATCTTACCAAGTGTCCAATAAATCAAGCGGTCGACCATCGTCGCCGTGCTATAGCAGATGTAAGTAAGGAGTGGTAGGCGATATCGGATACATAGTCATACTCTCTGAAACCAGAGACTCGTCCCTTTTGCAGACTCCAGGTGACGCCGATGGTGGTGATGTAGTCACAGATTGCACGTGCAATCCAAGACAGCGCAATCAGCACAATTTGACTGTCTATAAACGTCATGATGTCCGTCATAGAAATCGCCCTTACTGAGAGAATGATCAAGGAGATTTGTGCGACCACGGAGAGCATTCCGCAAAGAACAGGTAAGAAAAGGCTTCTAGTCAACCTCCAAAGTCGAAATGCGTAAAATGACTGACACCACCCGTAAGCGCCAAATAATTAATATACATTGATCACTTACATGAGAGATGAATACCGTAAAGCCACTCAACATGATGACCAGGTCTGCCGCTAGAGGAAGGATACTGAGTCGAGATGGATCACTATAGGCATTGACAGTCATTGTCCGCAATGTTATTATTATGCAGACAAATTGGCCCAGCTGAATCAAACTACAGAACGGATGTCAACCGAAGGCACCAAGTCAAACATGGAACATACAGGATTGCAGATACCTAAACATGACGCGATCAATAGGAATATATTGCAAAGTTGACCGACTCACAGCTGCTTTCAAGGCGAAGCCATCGCTCGCAAATCTTGTAAAATACAAGTAGGACTGGCAGGCAAGACAACCAAATAATGCAGCGCTCAAAAGCCCACCGACTTGGGTCGGCTCGATGATGGCCACGTATGCACCGGAACTATTTGCAGAGCCCCCTAAGCTGCTATTCATCGTGCCCAACGCAAGGTGATACGAAACAGTCTGATCGCTATGTCTGGCTTATCGAAGCGTTTACCGATACCAGTCGGTGATGCGATGAACCTGGTCAAGTGAAGTGAATCCAAAAGTGCGGAGAGTGAGGCCTAGTGCGGATCCAGCAGCTCGATGTCCGATATTTATATGGCATGTGTGGCAATTGAGCTTCAAGTTTGGTTGGACTCGGAAGTAGTAGTAACCCCCGGATATTTGGTGATGTCATTGGTTAGAGCAAAAGTACAATCATTTCTGATGAAGCTCCAGTTCTGTACGTTCTACTTTGGCGACGGCACGAGGTGCACCACTAGTACTTACTTCTGTACGCTCCCCTAGATTCACTCGTGTAGCGTTCAAGTTGGGGTAATAGTCGTTGCAAGCTTGACTTGGATCTGAATAAGTCCTGTTGAACAGCCACTAACTGTAATAGCTAGTACCGTCATTGTATTAATTAATAACGCAAGGGCTGTGGTGTGCGGGCTGCGGGCTGCGGCTGTATGCACGGCATCAGAATTCGTCAAGATATCTGCAGAACCAATGCATAGCTTCGAACCCAACTCCCACCGCGTGGTACAGCCTGTCGACGTCTTGACTCGTGATACCAAAAAATAGCAGATTTCTGAGATGAACAATCTGATGTGTTGCCCGTTTGAAATATTTTGTGGGGCATTGTTGTTGACTTACATTACACGTGCAAGCAGTGCTACATTTGGATTGGACAGTTTTGTTAGGCTATACTCCCCTTCATTGGAGTTTATTGAAGGCCCATTGCCATCTTTGCTTACTCACATACTCTCCAGACGCACTGCACTTCGTACCTGGTCATACGCTCGCGCTGCCTCCTTATGACTTGCTTGCGCCGCCGGATCATCCTTACGTGCGGACGCCATATGCATACTCAGCGCTGGTACAGCTCTATGCGAGATCACGCCAACTGGACTCTGCAAGTGTGCGATTTGCCCACATGGGAAGCATATCGCCATGGTGCCAGTTTGGGTGTGAGTGTCTGGAAACGCTACACCATCTATTTGTCAAGTGTCGTCGTTTCGCGGAAACGCGCAACAAGTCGTCGCAGGAAGTGGTTGATATAACTTCCATGCTTCTCTGTGAAGCAAAAACCACTGTTCGAACAACAGATGCTTATCTACACTCCGCATGGCCCTTGTTCGTGGACGACGCTTCGGTGTGGCCCTTGCACGAGACTCGCTATTACTTGGGAACTGTACTTGCGATTCAACCAGCAGATCAAATAACCACTGTGTTGGCGACAAAAATAGCGCACACATGGTACTTTGCAAGTATTCGTTTGGCAGGGCAAATCTGGGGGATGTACAAGCGTATTACGAATGGTTGGAAAGGCTCAGCGTGTGTTTGATTTGCCTAGACATTTGCGGCATTTGCAGTCACATTCATAATGGCTATGATCATGATGTATTTCGAAGAGCTGACGAGGCACTTCTATGTGTAGTAGTAGCATAGTCAGCCAATTTATTTATCGTTTATCGTTAAAAATTCTGGCATAATTAAATGACAAATATTCCTTGGCTTTGAATTTTAGATCGCAACCTTTCGTATCGGTCTGATGGCGTAGTTGGTTATTGCATCTGTCTAACACAGAAGGCCCTCAGTTCGATTTTTCATGCCTAAAGGACCCTACTGATACACCATCTCGTCGTACACTCGTTTCATAATTAACAATTAGTTTCACCATCTGTTGAAACACATGCTCGTATATGAACTACTGCAGGCTTCGAAACCTGGTTTTGTTCCTGATTGATTGAGCGCTCTGTTTCTTGGAACACTTGAACTTGAACGTCTCGGTTCTTCAAGTTTTGCAGCGAATCTCTGTCCGATTGCATATTTCCGGCTGCGAAACCAATTGCATTCTGAAACAAAATTATATTTTATGCGCAGTTATTTAAATGCTGCTCACCAAACCACCACCGCGACTCTGGGCATCACCTCTTGAGGACTTCCAATTCTCTCGAAGGAGTAGCCGCCGATTCAACCTGTATGTCAAGTTGATGAGCTCATCGCGTTTATCATCCGTCTGATCCATTTGGTGACTGACGAGGCTAACAAGGAGTTCCCTACGACTACACAATATGCGGGTCAGTATTTTGATTTGATTTGAAGTATTCCATATCATTACCATTAGGCCACAACAACCATATTCCAAACCACACATCTGCGTCGTTTTAGGCGTAGTCAGATGCATTACCAGCGCACTCACAGTTTTGTTTCATGACTGTAAACTTGAGGCTAGTTAGGAAACATTTCATTCGGGGAAGTAAAATCCTTACCAAGATTATCACAGTTATGGTCGTCAAACTGAGAGATCATTAAAGGAAACGACTGAGGAGAGAGGTAAATACCTGGTGACCAGAGCAGTCTCTGTGTAGAGGTAACGTTAGAAGGCATCCACTCAAGTAAGACGCTTCCTATCTTACCAAGTGTCCAATGAATCAAGCGGTCGACCGTTGTCACCGTGCTATAAAAGATGTAGTAAGGAGTGGTAGGCGATATCGGATACATAGTCATACTCTCGGAAACCAGAGACTCGTCCCTTTCTCAGACTCCAGGTGACGCCGACGGTGGTGATGGAGTCACATGCCGCACGTGCAATCCAAGACAGCGCAATCAGCACAATTTGACTGTCTATAAACGTCGTGATGTCCGTCATAGAAATCGCCCTTACTGAGAGAATGAGCATGGAGATCTGTGCGACCACAGAGAGCATTCCGCAAAGAACAGGTAAGGAAAGGCTTCTAGTCAACTTCCAAAGTCGAAATGCGTAAAATGACTGACACCAACCGTAAGCGCCAAATAATTAATATACATCAATCACTTACATGAACGATGAATACCGTAAAGCCACTCAACATGATGACAAGGTCTGCCGCTAGAGGAAGGATATTGAGTCGAGATGGATCACTATAGGCGCTGACAGTCATTGCCTGCAATGTTGTTATTATGCAGACAAATTGGCCCAGCTGAATCAGACTACAGAACGGATGTCAATCGAAGGTACCAAGTCAAACATGGAACATACAGGATTGCAGATACCTAAATATATGATGCGATCAATAGAAATATATTGCGAAGTTGAGCAACTCACAGTTGCTTTCAAGGCGAAGCCATCGCTCGCGAATCTTGTAAAATACAAGTAGGACTGGCATGCAAGACAACCAAATAATGCAGCGCTCAAAAGCCCACCAACTTGGGTCGGCCCGATGATGGCCACGGATCCATCAGAACTATTTGCCGAGCCCTCTAAGCTGCTACTCATCGTGCCCAACGCAAGGTGATATGAAACAGTCTGATCGCTATGTCTGGCTTATCGAAGCGTTTACCGATACCAGTTGGTGATGCGAGGAACCTGAAAAAATGGTCAAGTGCAGTGAATCCAAAAGTGCGGCTCGATGTCCGATATTTATATGGCATGTGCAATTGAGCTTCAAGTTGGGTTGGACTCCGAGTCGGAAGTAGTACTATCCCCGGATAACTGGTGATGTCATTGGTTAGAGCAAAAGTACAATCATTTCTGATGAAGCTCCAGTTCTGTACGTTCCGCTTTGGCGATGGTACGAGGTGCACCACTAGTACTTACTTCTGTACGTTCCCCTAGCTTCACTTGTGTAGCGTTGGGGTGATAGTCGTTGCAAGCTTGACTTGGATCCAAATAGTCGTCTGTACAACAGCCTCTGACTATAATAGCTAGTTGGACTTACCGTCATTGTATTAATAACGCAAGGACCGTGATGTGCGGGACTAGGCCTGCGGCCGTATGGACGGCATCGGAATTCGTCGGGATATCTGCAGAACCGATGCATAGCTTCGAACCCAACTCCCACGGCGTTTGGAAGTCTGATTCAATCTCTAAATTCTAATTCGTGTCTTGACTCCACAAAGAAAAGTGCAGATTTTCTTAGAATCAAATTTCTTGCGACATGAACAATCTGATGTGTTTGTGGCACTTCGAAGACGTCAATTGGGCGTTGAGCGACATGTGGTTGCAAGTTTGAAATATTTTATGGGGCAAGCGGTGTTTGGACATGACCAATGCATAATTAAATAATAAATATTTCTCGACTTGGTATCGGTCTGATGGCGTAGTTGGTTATCGCATCTGTCTAACACACAGAAGGTCCTCAGTTCGAGCCTGGGTCAGATCACATTTTATGCTGTTCATTGAAGCCGTCCTATTTTTATCGAACAGTCACTCTAAGCTTAACTTGTCCTACCGCCAGTGGCCGATGAACGCACAATGAGCACCTATCTTTATGAACTCCCAACTACCGGCGCTATCTCTTTTGGAGACTTTTGCGTTGACACTACGGCATCCAATGCATATGCAAGTCACATCGCTGAAGCTACCCAAGCGCGAGCAAACCTACGCGGTGTCCTGAAAGTGACCAAACGCACTGGCACAGACGACAAGGATTATCTGCGCTTGATCAAGGTGTGCATCACCGTTTGCAATTCGGGGCTCGCACAGTATATATCCCCTAGGTTCTCGATGACTACCTCCCATACTTGCATGGGATCATGGCCTGTGTCGTATCAGGGGACATTCGTCTGAAATCCGAACCCCGTGAGTCTTATGGTGATCCGCTATGCGTTTGACTGACCAGCCTGAGATTCAAAGAATTCAGCTGGCGCACGACACTGTCCGCACATCTATTTCACATGTCTCCAAGAATCGCTCTAGCATCGCTGCATGCGGACCTTGCATCCTCATTGCTCACTTATGCCTTTGCGCTGTCGAATTTTGCGCGTGTAACGGTTGCAAGTCTCGGTTCTTATGAGTATGATCGAGCGATCTCAGAAATCGAGAGAAAAGCGAAGGACGAGAAGCTCAATTTTGCGGTGACAATGCTGTGCAGAGCGAGCGGGATCTTTACCTATGTGAGCGAGAAGGTGTTGTTGGATTGGGATAAAGGGGAGGGTGCGTCGGTTAGGCCGCCCGATCTGAGGAAGGAGGTTAATGCTGCCCTCGCAAAGTCAGTACGCTCCCTCATTTCATCTCATCTCATGTTGGATGCCATGTTTTAGGATGGCACTCGCTGACGCGCAAACTCTGGCAATTCGTAAGTTTCTCTCCAAGTCTGCATACGACAACGCCATATCCCCCGGCCCTCCGCTTCCAAAATCACACCCCTCCATCCCGCTGATATTTAAATTCCACCTTGAATGCGTGTCGCTGTACTCCTCTGCGCGTGCGCTTGCCATGACGCTCGGCTCCACACGCCCATCTTCCTCGTCTTCTAATCCAGACTCCAATGCAGAAGTCTGCATCGAGCTGCGCCGTTACCTTGCAGATGCATCGGCATTTCATACAGCGCTTGCGCATAAGTGGCTTGGCGTTGATGCAGGAGAGAGTGGAGTGCGCGAAAAGGGCGGGGAGGCGGTGGCATGGTTACTATGGGCAAAGAAGGAGCTTGAGGACATGAAGGAGAGCGGGCTTGGTATTGCAGTAGGGCGGGACCGCGAGAAGCGCGGACGCAAAGGACGTGTTGCGGATGAATTGGAGAGCGTGGGCGTATTTTTGAAACACTATAAGAAAATCAATGATTCGGTAAGTCGGAGGTATCTCGATTGCATGAAATATTGGGTACTGATCATTTTTTGTTTACGGCGGGCAGCTGACATTTCAGCCTGTGCCTAAGCAGCAGGACTTGCAGGCGCGAATACCTACAGGGATTTTGGCGGTGCATGCAAAGCCCTACACACTTCCTTCCCCAGCATTCGGACCTGGGTCCGTCGAACATGCACGTCTACAGACGGAAACGCTAACACTAGAACACGATGATTCGTCTGGCGATGAGGCTCTTGCTAGTACTACCAGTCCGCGCACGTACGCTGGAGCTGGTTCGTACTTCTAACCCTTGTACAGTTAAGGTCAAGTGCTGTGCACATCGCATGTTCTGGTAGGTACAGTAAGGTTATACTATATCCACTTCTAAATCAGGTCTCAATCGAATAACCCCCCCTTCTGTTATTTATCTTAAGGCGAGAAGCCACACTCCTACTTGAAATGCTTGATGAATGTGGACGTCTCAGATCTGCGAGGTATGTGCTGGCACTTGCAGTTTTCGTTAGGGTGCCCAGGGCTGAGAACAGTCCAAAGTTAGCAACAACCCACCCCTGGAGTGGAGCAAGCGCCTCGTTTTTGAGGGCACCATGCCATTTACGATGTTCAGGAGCCAGTATGTCAGGAGGCGGCAAACAGCGGCTTGGCATAATGGAACACGCTGAACTAGTACTAGTAGCGCGCTGATTTGTGGTAGACATGAAATTTGCTCATGCAGCAGAACTGTTGCGCTGTTCCAGTTAGTCGAGATCTCGAGATGGCATCATGTGACTCTTTGCCTTCAAGTGATTTCCGAGGGCATGTCCAACACGCTGTATTTGGACTTGGCCTGGAGTGAGAAAACATGTCCGTGATCGATCATCGTCATTTGCTACGGCATATACCGTCAAACATTCCGTGGCCCAGACCTGAATGTGTCTAGTTCGTGACTGGGGTTGACGTTAATCACGGCTGCTCCGTTACTTTAGGCTTCCATCGGCACATAAGTGTGATTCTGCCACCCTGCTAGTGTGGCTCTGTCATCTGCCAACCGTCGGTGCTGACCTGCCAAC